AAAAAAATAAAAATAATATATATATATATATATATATATATATATATAGAAAAATATAAATATACTTTAGTCATGACACAGTTAACAATGAATGGGAATGTAACTGCAACGTATAAGAGTGTATATAGAGTGAAAAAATATTACATATTTATATATTTACATATTTATATTACGTGTTAAATCGTAATATAAATTTAATAAAAAATGTTAATACAGTTTTAATAATATGTAATGTTTTAATGATAAATATTCAAATTATCTTACACCGCAAAATGTAACCATTGTAACAGGAGACACTCTTCCAGCAGTAAGGTATATTGGTTTAGAACCTCTAGTCATTAAAAACAACAAATCTCGTACAGCTTTTGATTCCATAGTGTACCATTTATTATTATATGCTGCATAATATATTGCATTACACTTAAAAAGGTTATATTAAGTTTGAATTAAATTATCATAAATTGGTTTTTATATGTATATAAACATTAATGACATTAATGACATTAATTAAGAATTTTGCACAAATTTACTTTATGAAAAAAGAGACTTTAAAAAGAGACTTTATGAAAAAAAGTCTCGGTCAAATTGCTTCAAATTATAATATTTTGTAGCTCATGTCAGGCTGACTAAAACTTCTTACGGTCAGAAATCGTCAAATATTTTAATTTTTGCTCCAGGACCTTTGACAGATCATTATATCTTATACGAAAAAGTAATTAAAATAAATGTTTTTTTACTAATTAGTTAATTGTAAAATACTGTAATCATGGATATATACTGTATTGTCATGGATATATACTGTATATATATCACGGAAAAATATATTGAACATAATATCACAAAAAGTACGACATTTTTTAATACTTTGAAAAATATTATTACGCTATAAAGTATCTTGAAAAAAAATTTTATTTTATTTTTTAATTCCAAGAATCATATAGGATTTCCAAAAATTGAAAATATTTTATTTTATGTCCGATGTGTAATACAAACATTATAGCGCCACAGTGCTTAGTGATGAGAGAGAGAGAGAGAGAGAGAGAGAGAGAGAGAGAGAGAGAGAGAGAGAGAGAGAGAGAGAGAGAGAGAGAGAGAGAGAGAGAGAGAGAGAGAGAGAGAGGAGAGAGAGAGAGAGAGAGAGAGAGAGAGAG